GGGGGGGGCGGCTCAATGTCACGGGGGCTGCCAGGCCTGTCCTCGGGCTGTTCTGACAATATTCCAACTCGTTTGGGCAAACGAAAGGGCTGCGACAAAATTCCAGAGCCCCCAGAACAAGGAGAAACAGTGGCAGCCTGCTGGCGGTCAGCCAACACACTCAGCATGGGCCTCAGCGCCCTACATCAGGCCACTGCCCTGGGGCTCGCGGGGGGCTGTGGGAGCCCAGGAGGCAGCACCCCTCCCTGTCCCTGCTCTGGGCATCATGCCCCCCTCCCCCGGGGAAACAGTGCCGCATCTCCTGCGGAGGAATGGGTTCGGTCTTCTGGGTTCTGGAAACCATGTCCCTGAGAATCTTCCCTGATCGCCTTAGGTCTTCAGCGGTTTGCCACTGATTTCTGGGGGGACCTGGGGAAAATCTTTTCCTCTCTCTGGTTTTGTTGACCTCTACAGAATGTGTGGTTGGATCAAGTCACTTCAGTCCCTCTGGCGCTGGTTCCCAGGAACCCATTTGGAAGGCCTGCTCTCGGGCCATTGTCAGTTATTTTTCGATGACCGTTTCCTTTTTTTTCTTTGTCACGTTTTCCTTTCATTTTTTCCACACGCTTCCTGTCTCCCACTGGGCCGTAAGCTTCTTGACCACTAACACCCCTAGGTCAAGCAATCAGTCCACAGCAACGGAGCCTCTCCGTCAGGTTCCTTGGACCCCAAGCCGCTTTCCCAACGTTCTCCGAGAATTCTTCATAACGACGGGAATACCAGTCATCTCCCCCCAAAATGCCGTGCTTCATACATGTGCCTTCCTTGAACTTTTCCACAACCCAACGTACCGCCATTTTACAGATAAAGAAACCGAGGCCCTGAGAGACTAAGCATCTTGCTCATGGCCTCCCAGTTTGGAGTCAGAACCTGTGTGTGCGTGGCTGTCTCACAGAGTGTGCCACAGTAGGGACCAGGGTCCCCATGTCACAAAGGGAGCGCAAGTCAGTTGCAATAAGGCAAAACCTGCTCCTTCTTTGACTATCGGTTTCCTTAGCCCGCTGCCCACCCAGGGTCTGAGGATACCCCACTGCCTGACGGAAAAGGGGTGAGGGCCAGAGACCTGACCCCTCTGGCTGTAGGCCCCACCACAGGGGAGAGGAGGCCACGACAGGTGGACTCGGGCCACGTGAGGCTGGCAGCCC